AACTTTCTTTTTACTAGTATCCCCAAAACTCATTTACTCTTCAGGGCGTGTGGGTTTGGAGTTTGGACGCTGTCATGAAGAAATTTAATGTAATGGATTCCTGATTTTGGTTCCTTCCTCTTAAAAACCTTTCGAATTCTTTGTAGAAAATTTTCTTTCTAGACTCCTCCAGAAATTGAACTGCCTCCCCGAATAAGAATTTTAATAACAAGACCACTAATATTTAAGAAAATGTCATATAAAACTGTTTTTGTGATCTTGCAATTCTTTGATATTCTCAGACCTTTGCAGTTTTTGTCAAGTGCATCTTATTGTAAATTTGATTTGAGGGTTAACAACCAATGGATTCAAGTTTCATTATCTGTTTGAACTTCAGACAAACGTGGATAATTACAATTTTTGATTTTTTTAAAATAATTGTTCAGATATTCCTACATGCTCTCGTTTTAATTCATTTTTCAAAACAGGGGGGTAACCACTGAGTACTAAGTTTTTTGTTTTTTTTTTACTGTCATACTGTCAAATGTTTTTTAGACGTTGTGAACTACCCCCAAAATGATGCCTATCAAATTTGCTATGTGTCTTAAAGTCAATCAAACACCATCAGTGATAATTTGTTGAATTTTGGCAAACAGTACATTGGATGTTATCAGTCCTTGTCACCACGGACTGTGCCGATTTTTGATGCCCATTATATCATTTTTAGCTCACCTGAGCCGAAGGCTCAAGTGAGCTTTTCTGATCAAAATTTGTCCGTTGTCTGTCGTCGTCGTTGTTGTTGTCGTTGGTGTCGTTGTCGTAAACTTTTCACATTTTCATCTTCTTCTCAAGAACCACTGGACCAATTTCAACCAAACTTGCTACAAAGTTTCCTTGGGTAAAGGGGATTCAAATTTATTCAAATGAAGGGCCACGCCCTCTTCCAAGGGGAGATAATTATGAATTTGTGAAAAATTAATGGCATTTTTAAAAAATCTTCTTCTCATGAACCACTGGGTCAGAAAAAATGAAACTCATGTGGAATCATCCTCAGGTAGTGTAGATTCAAATTTGTTAAAATCATGACCCACGGGGCAAGGGTGGGGCCAAAATGGCCGATTAAAGTTTTACATAGGAATATATCGGAAAAATCTTCTTCTTAAGATCCAAAGGGACAGGAAAGATGAAACTCATATGGAATCATCCTCATGTAGTGTTCATTCAAGTTTGTTCAAATCATGACCTCAGGGGGAAGGGTGGGGCCACAATGGCCGATCAAAGTTTTACAAAGGAATATATAGGAAAAATCTTTAAAAATCTTCTTCTCAAGAACCAAAGGGACAGGAAAGATGAAACTTATGTTGAATCATCCTCAGGTTCATTCAAATTTGTTCAAATCATGACCCTCGGGGGTAGGGTGGGGCCACAATGGCTGATGAAAGTTTTACATAGGAATATATCGGAAAAAAATTTAAAAACCTTCTTTTCAAGAACCACTGGGTCAGAAATGCTGAAACTTATGTGGAAGCATCCTGGGGTAGTGTAGATTCTGAATTATTCAAATCATGACCCCCGTGAGTAGGGCGGGGCGACAATAGGGAATCCAATTTTTGCAAAAAAATATATCATACCCTTTAAAAACTTTAAAAATCTTTAAAAATCTTATTTTCAAAAACCACTGGGCCAGAAAAGCTGAAACTTATGTGGAAACATTCTGGAAAAGTGTAGATTCTAAATTATTCAAATCATGACCCCCGGGGGTAGGTCGGGGCCACAATAGGGAATCCAAGTTTTACATAGAAATATATAGGACAAAACTTTAAAGATCTTCTTCTCAAGAACCACTGGGCAAAAAAAGCTTAAACTTATGTGGAAGTATCCTGGATTAATGTAGATTCTAAATTGTCGAAATCCTGACCCCTGGGGGTCGGGCGGGACACAATGGGGAATCCAAGTTTTACATTGAAATGTATATGGAAAAATCCTTGAAAATCTTCTTCTCAAGAACCATTGGGCCAGAAAAGCTGAAACTTATGTGAAAGCATCTGAGGGTTGTGTAGATTCTAAACTGTCCAAATCATGACCCCCTGGGGGTAGGGCGGGGTCACAATTCGTATTACAAAGGGGGGAAATCTGTTTAAGAACAGCATAGCCAAAGTTTATCAGTGAGCGATGTGGCCCATGGGCCTCTTGTTGTTCATTGAAATCCATCTGCTCATGTGTCAATAAAACAAACATATTGGTTGCTGTAAATTTAACGTATTTCAGTGAATATTTCTGTGGGATGCTTAACAAGTATTACAGCAGCTTAAATGAAGCGTTTAATTATGTTCCCCAAACGAAGTTGGGGAACATATTGTTTTTACTCTGTTTCTTATTAAGGTCTTCCGACTTCCTTCGGAAGACCTTATTGTTTTCCGTCGGTTTCCTATTATTATTATTCTTATTCTTTTTTTCATTTCTAGGGCGATATCTCAGCTGTGACTGTACGGATTTCAAAGATTTTTACAGGAAAGATGCACCAGGTTAATATCTCCAGACGTGTTTTTCATTTTTTCAAAATTTTCTTCCGTTCGCGATTTTTGGGGAAATTTGTATTTTTTAAAAGGATTTTTGTACACAATTTTTCTCGAAAACGGCCAAAGATATGACATTGAAACTCATGGACATGAAAGACCATCACATGTAGATGTGCAGAACGTCCTTCATTTTTTGTCGTTCCTACTTCCGGTCGCAAACGGAAGTGAATTCAAAAAATCTCATTTTTCAACTTTTTTGTTTTTCAATATTTTTCTTTCGGATTTACAGGGTATATAGAGCGTCTTCAAAGATATCTATATATGTTTTCATTTTTTTCATGCGTGCGTTTATTGCAAAGATATGACCGAACCAAACTTTGTCTTACTGTCGGGGGTTCGAATCCCGCTCGGGGCGTTCCCCAAATTTTTTCTTTGTTTTTGTCTTTTTTCAGTTGCAAATTACTTTTCACTCTTTTATAACACGTGTGGAAGATTTTGCCGATTTTTAAAAGCTATAATTGGAGATATTTTATAAAATACCTGGAACAATCACGATCTGTGTTGAGAAACTACTGTAAATGAACGTAAACGAAAAAATACATTATGAAATTTATTTCATGGGATGACGCAGACAAGATTGCAAAAGAGAAGTCGGTCGGAAGACCTGCTTGTTGCACCAGCAACAAGAACGCATCTAGTTATTATTATTATTATTTTTCTTCTTCCTGGGAAAATTTTGTCCACGAGTGATCTTGTAAACGACACATCCGACTTAGGTGAAACCTTTTTAGCGTCAGTAGGCATGTTATGTAGAGTTGCCAAACGAAGGGCGCGCACGTGCTTGCAAGAGCGCGCACGTGCAACACGTGAAATGACCAATATTATGGATATTGCCGTAACTTTTCTATTTTTTGATGAAATTTTTTGAAACTCATAATGTAAGGATACATTAGTAGTATAGACAAGATAGCATGGTCAAAATAGCAAGATCTCACGCGCACGCACGTGCGCTTCGCTCTGATTGGCTGAAACTAAAGTCTCAATATCTTTCTTGTTTCTTGTCATAATCCTTTGAAATTTTGAACATAGTCCTACATTATGAAGATCTACAGCATGATATATAAGAATTTTCATGAAAGCATGCGCATGCCCGCGTGCTGCAATCTGATTGGCTGAAAATTTAAATGGCTATATGTCCTTTCTTTTTTGACGAAATTCTTTGAAATTTGAAACATAGTCATGCATCAGGATATCCTACAATATGATATAGAAAAATTCACGAAATCACGCGCATGCACGTGTGCTGCAATCTGATTGGCTGAAACTTGAAATGGCTATAACTCCCTTGTTTTTCAACCAAACAAGATGGGATTTAGAACATAGATAGATTTAAGGGACTCCTACAAGAAGGTATGGTCATCATGCACGTGCACGCACGTGCGTGCATTTGGAACCAGTATAATTAACAATATACTTGAATGAGTGATTTTGTTTACTTTTGGACTGAATGCTTTAATATATAGTGTATTAAAATATATAGATAGTGTAGACAAGATGATATGGTCATAACGCACAAGCATTCACATGCGTTTGGGTGCAATGCTAAAATTTGAATATAATTGGTATCCTTCTGGGAAAATGTTGTTAAAGTCAAAAATGCACAGAGTTTGTCTTATTTTATGAAGCTTACAGGGAATATGGCACCAGAAGGGAGTTGGGCAGCGTTTGGGGAACATCTGTAACGATTCCCGTTACAATTAGCACTAGTTTCACTTTAGTTTACTGATTCTTTACCATTCACTTTTAATGCAGTGTCTCGAAAAGCCCTTGTTTTCCAGCTTCTCACAATGAAACTATGTGATGAAAAGTGGTCACATAAACTGTTATCAATTAATTAAGAATCATGAGAAAAATTAAGTCTAACCTAATGTCATATGATTTTTGTGTTGTATGTCATAGAGCTGAGGACATTATTTATTGAACAACCCTCATATCTGGCACACAAGTAGACTACACTAAATACAAAACTTAGTGCATCGGTTTTGATTTTGCTGGACGGTGTTGCTATGGGTACTAAAAATGGACTTTTCGGTAAAATGCCTTTAAAATGCTACTCCTCATACAGTTTTGCTCTGATTTTAATATAACATGACGCACAAGTAAGCTACATTAAAATACATAATTTAGTGCATTAAGTTTTGATTTCGATGAATGGTGATGTCATGGTTACTAAAAATAGAAATTTCTGTAAAGTTCTTTCAAGTGGCCACTTCTGAAACAGTTTTGTTTTTACTTGATTGCAATAAATCATGCCACAAAGAGACCCAACCTAAGACATCATTCTATTTATTGCTGCTTCATAGTTTCAAGAGTTAGTGCTACTTTTCCTTTATAATGATTGTTAACCAGTAGAGGAGCTACATTCTCATTCGAGACATCTGATTATGAAATACCATTATTTATATAAGCAATTTATGATAACTTAAAGTGAAAATCCTTGGTGACACACTAAAATTCAACATATCTTAAGATGCCTTACTTTAATTTTGTATACATATACAGTAAAATGCCTTATCGCAGATCATGAGATAAGGATTAACGTACGTACAGTTACAATATCAAGGTATGCCAATGCCAGAAACCATAGAACCCTGTATTTCAATCCGATAATGATGTTCCTTGTTGTGTCCTTGATTTCTATAGGTAAGATACATGTAGATGTATGTACATTTTAATAAATTTAATAATTTCTTAAAATATGTAAGATGAAATGATACATTAAAATTAGTAAATGTTCTTATGTCATGCTTTTTGTTATCTATCTTTTTATGTGATAATATTTTCACTATAATGATGACTTGATTTTGTTTTAAACCTAGCCTCAATAGCAAGTCCTGTGTTGGGCGCCATTTCATGCAATGATATATTTGAAAAAGGTAACGAGAAAACTATTTTCAAAACGACATTTCATGGTTTTCTGAGTTAGTAAGGTAAATTGTGTTATCATTGGGTTTCATGTACTTTGTCTATTTTTAAATAGTCTTTTGTTTTGTTGTTTTAGCTAAAACCAATACACTGGATTGTTCACACTGCGGTATGAATATTATTTTATTGTATTATACACTTTAGTATTATCTACATATTATTTACATTACTGTAGTATTGATGGTACTTACCTACCATAAATGAAGAATATTTTGGAAAAAACCAAAGGTACCTTCTAGTTTTCAGAGATTCTTAAGCATTAGCTGTAGATAATAGAATGATATAAATATCTCAAAATATAAAACTTGTCATTTTTCATGAATTTCTTCTAATGGTTTAAGTTTCTAAATTTTCTTTCAGCTCCCGAGATAAACCCAGCATGCCGGATAAGTGAGTAAGCACGCTAAATAATTTTTATTGTTCTGACCTTTTAAATTTGAATAATTCCCTCAATAACTAGTATTGTAAAAAAAATTACATTGAAATACATTTTATTTTTTGAAGATATGCAGCACATAGAACCACATCACCGTATGTATTTGCCAAAATAACGAAAGTTATACTTTAGTATCAAGTGGTAATCTTAGAATCTAGTAGTTTTGTTTCAAAAATTGCACAAGCAAACTTCCTCGTGTTTTGAGTTAATTTGTTCTAGTTTTATAACTTTAATGTTGTCTTTGAATGAAAACATATTAAAAAGAACACAATGACTTATACATATGCTTGTTTTGGCCACAGTTGCAAGATACTTGGACATCTTGCGAACAACGTCTCTAGTGGCTTGTTTCTATTCTGAGTATACCAAACACTATGGTGAAGACTATTTCAACAAAACATCTCACGTCATCGCTATTTGTAAACCTGGAACGGTAGGTTAATTTTGCTGTAGAAGACGACTTTTTTATCAGAATTCATAAACGAATTCATAAGCGAGGATTTTACAAGAAATAAAAGGAGATAAACTGGTCATTCAATCTTTTCAGATGTGCTCTAACGTACGACACACGGACGCCTATGAAAGAGGCTGCTACAACTCCAAAAATCATGCACATCACCAGGTATTCAGTTGAAAAGAAAAAAGATGCACCTTAAACCTTATAATTATTTTTACCTTAATCAACACATCTTCATGAACTTGTCAACTTAAATCCAGACTGTTGCTGCATCCATCGCGTTCATAACTTCCATTCAGAGAAATAGGTCGTTTAATTGACTCATCAAAAAGTACTATGTTTATTTTAGATAACTGGATATGTGGTTAAATTGTAAATTAAAAAAAACTAATGTACGAATAACTATTTTGCCTAAAGGGCTCTTCCAGCAAAAATACAGTGTGTTTGAGATGGAAATGGATTATGACGGAATGAGAAAACAATCTTTAAATTTTGTATTTCTCTACTAATTAAAATGCTATTATCAATACAACTAAGTTGAAGTATTTTATCGTTATTTCAGACCTGCGGAAGAGATTTCTGTAACAACATGACTTCGACAGGTGATTAATTTCATATGGAATTTTTAACGAATCATGCTCTTGAGCTTAATCAAAAAAATATTTTGCTGTTATTTTTCTGAATAATTAATTGATTATTCACTTTAACAGAAATGGTTTTGGTGAATAATATTCTTAGCTATTTACCGACAACCACCACTACCACAACAACAACCACCACCACCACAACAACAACACCAAAGCCGACAACCACCACAACAACACCAAAACCAACAACAACAACACAGTCAACGACAACAACAACACCAAAGCCAACAACAACACCAATGCCAACAACAACACCAATGCCAACAACAACAACACAGTCAACAACAACAACACCAAAGCCAACAACAACACCAAAACCACCAACAACAACACAGTCAACAACAACACCAATGCCAACAACAACAACACCAATGCCAACAACAACAACACCAATGCCAACAACAACAACACCAATGCCAACAACTACAACAATGCCAACAACAACAACAACACCAATGACAACAACACCTGAACCAACAACCACCAGCACAACAGCTCCTACTACAACAAGTACACCTTCCACAACAAAAGCTTCTAGCACAACAAAACCTAGCACAGCTACAACTGCTAAACCTTCGACAGTTACAAACACTACAGCACAAACAGTTGTGAGCTGCCCTAGTATGTCACTTTATTTAATAATTCTCTTTCTCTTTCAAACATAGAGCTTATGTAAAAACCTACGTCCTGCAGTTTCTTTTTTATTTCCTTTTCCTTAATATATTCTTATAACAAGCATATCTTGAAAGAAAATAGATATATAAATATTATATCTCAAGTTATTTCCTGATTGGTGCATTGTGTAATATAATTTGAATAGGACGTTGTCACTGAAATAACCTTTGAATGCAATGGAGTGGGTTAAAAACAGGGCCAAGTTGACTGGGTGACTATTGTGGCCCATGTGTCTCTTGTTTCAGATAGCCCTCAGCATGTGTGTCGGGATGACTTATCGTTCTGTTCATATTATAATTCACTGACTGGTGCCTGCAGTAGACCTATCGATAAGACCTCAGAGGACTTCTTCAACAGATGTTCGCTTTTCTGTAAAAGATGCTCAGAGTGTAAGTTTAGTGTTGGAAAGTTGTAAAATTGTAGAATTTCAAATTCACATAATTACAATCAATGATAGCTTTAAAGAATGGTGCCTTCTTTTCAGATTGTCAGTACCTTTCTGCCAAAACGACCCAACCACCAGGTGAGATATACTTGCAAAATGGCAATTGTAATTTTATGTTTTGATATTTTTTTCCAGTAACTAAAATAAAAGTAAAATAAAAGCATACTTCTTTCAAAACACTTTTTAAAAAATCGTTGCTATGTAGAAAATATCAGTAGGCATAAGTATCAATTGAATTTATTGGGTTAATTTTGATGTACGATTTACATTAGCAAAATATATGTATATGTAGGAGAAAAAAGCATAGAAGTTGCGTTTAATATCTTTATCTTATAGCGATAAAGTTTGGCGATAAAATGACAATGAATAATCAATATCTTAAATTTTAAAGTTAGTTACTACTTGTATATGAATTTGAAAAAAATATAAGAATTTTGATAGTTGAACAGTTTCAGAATTTGTTTATTGGGATTTTCTTTCTCTTCATAATTAAATAATACACTTCGAAGCATAACATCTTACCAGGGTGCAACTATACCGTATAAGTGGAAATTTTAGCGAGACGCAATTCTAGTGATATGTCCTTAAAATATGGTATTTTATTTTTAGCAAGAAGTAATTTTAGCGATTTTAAAGTGCTCCTTAAAGAAGCTATTGCTTGATCTTCGTGTGGGCCTAACTGAAATTGTCTTAAATATTCTACAGTGTCCATCTTGCTTTGATAGTGACAGTAAAGATACGTTGTTTAGAATTCTGTTTGGTCCTGGTGATTAAGCTACTCTACATCATTAACTCCATAAATATTTGGAGTTTCCTATAGCAAAACATAGCACAGACAGATATTTGTGATTTAACATAGCAAAACATGGACAATGTCATTCTCTCTATAATATGGAGATTATCCACTTCTTTTCCCCAACCTCTTCTCTACCACTGAAGAAAAATTTACGAAACTTTCTCAGAATCTTTATTACAATTGTCATATTGTGCACCTACTGTGTTTCGCTTCAACCAGACAGATATTTGGGGTTTCCCAAAGAAATCCTGAACACTGCCCATCTCTTACGAACAACTCCTCTTTTACTATATTCTAACTTTTTTTAAAACACAGTGCTCTTGTGTCTTCTGTTTGGACGAATATTGTTCTTTGTATTATACTCTTATGGAAGTGGAGGTATCATTTTGTGAGTGAAGAGTTCACAGTACCTCTGTTTTTGAGTTTAACTAGTCGAGAACATTTTTAGATGAAGTTCTATGTTTTATACGTATTTAACGTTCAAATTCAGCACAATTGTGCATTTAAAAATGCTGGGAATGAAAATTACTACGATGTTAATCAAAATACGAAAATTATTCATTATATTCCAAGAGCAAAAATTTTCAAAGATCTTATGAAAATTCATCCTGTAACCATGTACTCGATCGGAAATATAAGCCAGTAACCAGTTAATAGACTTGATAGACTTGTTGAAATTTATTCCAATGCAACTTTGGAAGAAATTTCAATATCAATGCATAAAACACATACTCAGCAACAGCATACTCAATAATCATTTGAGAATTGCACATTAAAAAACAATTTCCTATATATTAGCGAAACTTCCCTCTCCCCAACTTCCAAAAGAAACATACTAACGACATCCTTGTTCTCTGCAGTGACCCGGCATTGTCACCAGTGCGGGGACCCCCGTACCTCTACCCCCTGCTCCACCCTGGAGGTTTACACCGGACCCTCGACAGCCTGTCCCTCGGGACTGGACTTCTGTATGACAGACATACACCATGATCTCCATGGTAATGACAACATCCTCAAGAGGTAGGTAAAAAGAAACAGGGTCTTCAAAGGCAATGTATGTGTAGTATTTCGTACATTTTGTACTTTATTAACAAAGAAATTATTCTGAGCAAACTTAATGCTTTACAGTACGCAGTTGTAATCAGGTAAAGTGAACATAATAGAATAACAGATAGGTTTTTCCCAAATAAATGACAAATGAAAACTTATTTATGTTCATAGTTTCACAAATCGTGAAACTATATTTATCAGAGTTAACTATAGTTAAGAGTTGTAAACTATAGTTTTCGTGAACTGTAACAGATAATCTATTATTGAGGATACTTAGCAAATGATTCTATATGCCATGATATCATCAATTTTCTATATAATTGAATTTAAACGTTTGTATTGTTTTCATCCAGATTCTTGACTTGCTATTATATAATTTTTTTTAAAGATACATATGTAAATGTCACCTTGTCACCTACTTTTGATTACACACAGGTGTGTGAGCAGACAGGAGTGTGAAACCCTATGGTTGTCTCAGACTTCTGATCAGGATCACTGTATTAACTTCGGTCAAGTTCCAGTCAGTGGAGAGTATACTTGTCACTACTGCTGTACAAAGGATGGGTGTAATGCAAGGGTTCTCCCTGACCACAGTACTCTTTTCACCAAAACATAACGCATAGTCTCCTAAGGAAATTATGTTCCAAGTTTAAATAAAATACTACATAGAGGGATAATTATTTTGTTTTTTACAGCCATTAGATTCTCTCTCCAGCCTCTGGAAAGCTTCAATCAGCATTCTTCTTTATGCAGTTGTTGGAAGAGAAAATACTTCCTCAATTCCACAATGAACACTCAAAATCAAACCTGTTTCACTTTTCTGAACAAATCAGTCTATATTAATTTACTAAAATGTAAAATTCCTCCAAAAATACACTTCCATATTTACCATGATAGAATTGTAGAAAATTTAGATACTCAAACGTAAATAAATGAAAGCCTTTTTGACTTTTCAAGATTTATATTTATTTAATATGATTTTGTCTGTCTTTTTACAATGTTTACTCCACACCTGAACTAGCTGGTACATTCTGTATGTATAAAACAATGTCATGAAGATATAAACAATGAGTCTCTCCATTTATTATGAAGCATGCATAGCACTGCAAATTTGGCAGAACTCAAAAATACTGATTAAGAAACAGCTCAATCACTTTCTGCCAATGTAATAGAAACATGAAAAATGTTCAGATGTACTTGATTTTTAGGTGTCTTATTTAACAAATGTGCCATCAAAAACATAGACACCATAACATTATAAGGAGTTGTAGATTTGTACAATATATTTACACAGAAAATCAATGATCACAGCTTGATATCTACAAGGTAAACAAAAAAAGTATATAACTACAGCAGTAAACAAATAAACTTAGTAAACTGCCAGTTTTTATACAAACTTAAAGCTTCTACAACAACAATAAAAGTACATGTAGCTCTTGGCATAAAACAGACACATACTTTTTTTAATAACTTCAGCTGATATCTCTGTGTTTGGAGATCCAAGACAGTGATATGTACAAGGACAAAATGAACACTTTGAATGTTGTAGATTTGTCTTGGAGGATCCTGAGTAGGGATAAATCAGCATAGCACTAAACAGGTATTAATCAAATGACGAAAATCTGACTTTACAAAAAATTCCTTGTGGGAATAACACCAAAACAGAGCTAGAGAATACTACTACATGTATTAATATTTAAAGCAGAAAATAAAGCAGCAAAACTTAATCACAAGCACTGACTATCTGCAAACTCTATACAACATCACTAACACATAAATTTAACAAATCTGCATTGATTAAAGAGCCCCAACAATAACAAAGATAGACAGGCTAAAAAGTTCCAGAACATTGTCCATCGGTAACAGTTTTTGAAGTGAATTACTTCGTTTTAATTATGATGTAAATGTAGAAAACAAAGAAGAGGCATGATTAAATTCATCAACATCATAAGAGAAGAACTCATTGACTATGATTATGGTTTCAACTGATGTAACAAATGCAATTCTATTTAACAGATAAATGAATACAGTTCCATTAAAAGTAAATGCTTTCTTTGTTTTAGATATGGGAGATTGGTTGCAATATTGAAGAAATAGTTTTGTATGTCATTTCTTTCTACATTAATTGCAATCACTATATGGATGTACCATAATTTTGATGACATATGTTACATATGGCTCAAATAACCATATCTTATGCAATACGGCTTTTCAAAAGAAATAAAGGAAAAGAAATGGACCAATGCAAAAATATTATGGAATAAAATTTTAACAGTAAAAACATACACTTTTTAAAGATCAGATTAATTCAATTTAAAGGTGTCAAGGAAAAAATACAGCTTTCACTTAACAGGTTTTTTTTCTGAATTTCTAGTTTGTATCACAGTTTTGTAATACAGTTTGTATCAATACAAAAAATGTGACTGATAAAATCAAAATCTACAACCATCACTCCAATATTAAATAAAACTTCATACTGTACAAGATATACTAATATACATTCATCATTCATTTGTGTATTCCATGTTTTTGATAAACTCGGCAGCTGAACAGAATTGAATCCACCAGTATTGTTCCTCTCCCCCTATTCTGTTCCCGTAGAAGCTCTGTACGTACTGGATGGTGGATAACATACAGGGGGGATTGGCCTTGATAATGACGTAGATGAGAACAGGGATGAAATCATCGGCCGCAGGGACCGCTTTCTCGTTAGCCATACTGAGGAGGTTCATGATGGTGGTGGCACAGCGGAACACACATTTGACCTTGTCCTTAGGGGTCTGTCGAAAAAAAAAATAATTAAGTTTAAAAGTTTGGTGTATCAAAATACATAGTGATGACAAAAATTATCCTGCCTTGTAGTGCTGTGTCAAAATTATGTTTATATCATGAATTTAAAAAATATCTGGTAGTGCACTATGTGTTCATAATCATAATGCAAACATATTATCTGCTAGATATTCTAATGTAAAGAGGAACAGTTTTGAAGAAAATTATGGTTGTGCCCTTCTGTCGGGAAAAAGACCAATGAAATTCACAGTTTTTGTTTCTCTTTATCCAGGAATTTTTTGCACATATCAAAATTGGTTGCAATTGATTTAGAATTTAAGTCAAAAATGCTGAAATAGTTAAGGCACCTCAATGGAAATGAATGAATAAAAATAAGACAAATCTAAAGATTTTACATTCAATTTGATTGATCTCAACAAAGACATACTGCACTATCAAATTTTTTTAATGTAAAACTACATGAATAACAGACCTTGTAAGCATTGATCATGTAGATTTCCTTCTGAGCGGCAGTCCATGGACACTCAAACTGGTACATACGTGGAATCCTCAGGTCCTTGTGGGAAGGAGTAATCACCTGGCTGAGTTTCTTAATGTGCTCATGAAATAATCTGAAAGCAAAATACAAGTGACGTTTTTCTTCTTTTCTTACCTTTTTTTTTTTATAAGACTATGCAACATACCGGAGTACCATACATGTAAGACATGCATTTTTAAAAAAAATTTACCCAAAATATTTTTTGCAAAAAATTTGTTCCAAGGTAGAATTCAAGATTACTATTGATAATACAATGACTAGGAAACAACTATAAACAAGTGTTCTAATTTGAATAAAGAAATCTCTGACATACTGGTCCCTCATGATGTCTCCATCTCCGTTAGGAAACATGGCGTGTGTGTAGATACGACTCATAATGTATCTCTCTATAGCCAGCTGGGCATCCTCCATCTGACTCTCATTAGCAGCTGATTAAAAAGTCAGTATAAAAAGATTAAAAATAAATTATCACTCAAGCAAATCACAAAATCAGGGTTTGAAATGTGTTTTTATTGTTTTAGTCAATTCTAGCATAAATAATGCCCTACCTTGCCACACCTGGTCCTGGTTCATGGCTTGATACAAGTATTGTAGAAATTGTTCCACATGATCAGTCTGAAAAATAGGAACCATATCATGCCAAGATGTATTTCAATTGTTTTTATGTTTCCTCAATTTGAAAATAAAATTTACCTTTTCATCTGCGACAGTGAGTTTCTGGAAGTCTGACATAAACCTAACAACACTGCTTTCTTTCCTCTCAATGAAAAGCTTGACACAGATCCTGGTTATGTGATTCCCACAAACTTCTTTATCCCTGAAATGATGAAGAAAAATAACCATATATTGTTATACATCACTGAAGTTTTCAGATCCAGTAAATTGATGGAATATACTGCAAATCCAAGGCAAATAGATCTCTATTAATCTCTCTTTCACTTCTTTCCAACAAAATACTTTTTTTTCAATTTCTCAACGAGATCATTATACTTTCAATACAAACACTTTTTTTTTACCTCTTGATTCTGCTCAGAAGACGCTGGAGATGTGAATGGGTTCCCAGGAGGCCTTGTCGACACCGAATCAAATATGAAATATAAGCAGCTCTACTCTGATAATCCTCTTGTAAAGAACGTACTAATTTTCCACAGCTGAAAGTCAAACAAAGTAAAATATTAATGCTTCTCTGATTAGATGCAAGACTATAAATGTATTTAACAAATGAAATTTCTTAATAAGGTTTAGAAGTAAAACGTTTTCTTTATTCACCCTTCTCCATCAAAGAGCCTAACACATCGGATGGCTTCGTGAAGCTGGGCTATAGTGTCCTTGTCTTGTAGGTTTATGGCCTCGGCAAGCTGTCCCCTCAACATCTTGAAGAGTTCGGAGGAATCCGTCTTTCCGCCTTCCTGCCTTACTTGAGGGGAGAATTCCAAGAGGTTATAACCCAGCTGTATGTCAGTGTTACTGAGAACAAGCCTCAGTTTTCGTTTTGTGTCCGTGAAAGCAAAGCACGTCTCCAGATTATCTGGGTCATACAGAGGGGGGCCCTGAATGTCCTCGTCCTTCACTGACATTCTCTTCTCTTTCATGGCTGTCACATCTATACTGGGGAGTCCTGATATCTCCTGAGATGACGTGGCACTAGTGGAGGGCTTCGGGCGATACTTCTCCAGAATATCCTCTGTCGATTCTGTTAACAATATCATAAACTTTAATACAATTAATCACTATCCCATATCCTTGACAGACACTGATGATGGTGAATTCATAATTGATATTTCAACTTTCTGTAAAATGTTCACCTGACAGGATGCTTTCACATTTAGAATATTAAGTCTTTATCTCATGAAATTCAAAATTGTATGCATAAGTCAAGATTGAAGTTGAGCATCTGTAGACAAACTGACTAAAATAAAGATATACAAATAATTTACGGAGAAAAAAATATAATCAATGTAAAGAAGCATACCAGCATCATTCAAAATTCAATTTCTCTTTGTTCCCCAATCTGACTATAAGAGCTGGCTATTACTGTTTTTTATACAGGTATGTGAATGTGTCAATTCTGCTATCCACCTTTAATACACCTCCCCCCCCCCCCTTTCATTTACCTCTAGCTCCTGGTTCCCCTCCCTCGGCCCCCTCTACAGAAGTGTCCACTAGTACAGGGTCTACAACTGATGTATTTGGGGTGTCTACAAAATAATCATTTACCTTACATAATTACATTCAAGGGTTATCATAAATCCTTACATTACTTCCTCCTCATCGTAAGTCTCTCTTAACAACAGATTGGCTTTTATAATGCAGATCTGTTATTAAAATCACAACATATCAAACTATAACTCTCTTATTGTGACCAATGCCTAAATATGTAACTTAGAAATGACATAAAGTAGAGTGGAATCTTTGATGACGTTGATATTAAGGAATGTGACATAAAAGTTGAAAACTGAAAATTTAAGACGTACAGTATTTAACAGTTTCAGATAATCTTTAGCATGAAATATCTACAGATAGCTAGACAGACATGGTAATTCAAATACGCCTTATCCTATCTTCCCAAATGTTTCAATGAGTTATAATAATATAGTCCTGTTGGGATCTGAATATTGTAAATCACTTTATATTCAGGAGAAATTGGTGAAACTGTTATCTTGCCTATAAATATTAACTGACTTGGGAAAATATAAGCCTAAACATGCTAAAGGAATCAAGAAAAATTGGTGACCCACAGTATTCAGATACAAATAGGTCAAATTAGATTTTCACTGACCAGGTGCACTATCTTCTCCGCCGGACTTCAAAGTCTTCTTCTTCATTCCTGAAATTTCAAACACAGCCAATTTGTAAGACTAACATTTTAATACTGACATTTAAAAAATTTTCTTGTACAAATATATTGAAAACCCTGCTGTAGTTAATTTCTACAGTACATTATTCTGATATACAATTGTATTTTGAGGATAAAAAGTCACATTAACTGCCTTTTTTTTTTTTGGCGCTTTTTTGGAAAGTATATACATTGTACTACTATTGAATAGAATTGCAAGATCATACAAAGAAGCTTAGAATACTTCTCACAATTATACAATAGCAAAAAACAGTATGACGTCATATAATGATGAGAAAGGAAAATTTGATTCAGAGTACAACATTCAATTCATGTGTACAGGACTCAGTAGAAATATATGTATGCTAAATTAAATTATACAGAAAACTTGTGCACATTTCCACCACTGATTCAGCAGTAACATGCATCTATAATACCTGAAATATTCAATCCCACAAATTAAACATGGTCATGCACACAGGAAAAGACAGAGAAATGCTCTTTCGTAAAAACACATTTCAAACACAGCATTCATATAATTCTGCAAATATGAAAACTGCATGTGTACAAAGAAGCTTCCTTTTGAAGCATATGAAACTTGTTCACAGATAAACAAGAAATGCAGACAAGCAGCACGTACATGTACATCAAGAAACACGAGTGTGGATAAAATTTTACCAATATGGTGATGAGTTAATCTGGTACTTGTTCGTATAATGGAGGACATGTAATGATGGGAACCTACAGAATATATAGGTTATCAGTCCTAATTCCTAATACACAGCTCATATTCTTGCTAAATGCATTTTTTTTTTACCTGTAATCTAATCTTTTAAGCTACATGACTTTTTAGATAATATTTAACTACTGAAAAAGCAGAAATATTCGTGGGGGATTAAATTTTGTTTATTTCGTTGTTAACAATTATCAACGAAATTAAATCCCACACAAAATTTTACATGACTATATATTGAATAGGGTTACTCTCAAAACAACGAAATTAATTGCTCACGAAACTATTTTTGATGACAAATCAACGAAATTTTATTCCCACGAAAATTTGTGCTTCTACAGTAATTAATATTTTTCAATCTGACCATAACAATATGAAGATGCTTGCACTTTTTTTTTTTTACAACTATCTGACATCAAAACCACTGTGGCTGAATGTATAGGTACATGTACATCATTATGTATCTACTTTACATGACAATGCTTTAATACTGATTTTGTTTTGTATTATTTAATGTGGTAAAAGAGTTTGACCCCAAACTTGAACAAACTCGAGACACTTTTTCAAAAGAATTTGTGACTAAAAAGATAGATCATAGTGTAATTTGGAAATGTGCAGTACTGGTAACTCTCTTTTTTACATGAATATGAATTTTTTTTTAAACAAACCTACAAAAAATATTTATATGCAAGCAGTTTTTAACAAAAGCATTAATTTTGCAAGTCATCACAATCAACTAAAACTCATAAGTTCTTTTGTAAAATGGGTTCATGGATTCAGTCAATTAATTGTAGCTGTTTCAGATTAGATGGATGAAATGTGAATATTCATAGTATGGGGTTAAAAATGTTAAGACTGATGAATTGATGGTTGCCAACTTCATTCAGTTCACCTTTACATTTAGCTCATCTAAGTTTAATCAATTAATGCTAAAAGAGCTTTTTTATCAGGGAAACACTTTCCACATTTTCTCATTATAGAAGTCCTCAAACTAGCCATAAACATTAATATTTTGATATTGCTTCCCCATAAACAAATCTTCCTGATGATACAAGTCAATAAGTACATCACGCTGCTTTTAGAGAGATTAAAACAAAGCAAAAAACAAAAAGAAAGCGAGACAACCAGTCTGCAACCAAAAACTGACCATCGGTAAAGTGAAAAGCACTGTTACCTTTATTCAGTTTGACCTTCAGGTTTCTGAAGAAGCTCTTGTTTCCATCTCTCTGACTCTTATCCTTGGAGCTGGCCACTTCCTGTAATTGAAGATGAATAAAAACATTTATGATGCTACCAAAACAAAATTCACTGCCAATATCCTTAACAAAAATTTAAAGGTCCTCACTGCTAAAGGTGCTGATATTCTATTATTGCTTTTTCTATAGAGTTGTTTCTCCATCAAGTTACATGTGCTATGCCTCATTATGAATGTCTGAGTATACTATTATTATTCTAGACAAAGCTTTTAAACTGAGAGAGTCTGAGTATGCTGTTGATTATCTATAAGTATTCTTTTCACAATTAATTTAATTTGTTGGACACTTGGATCAATAATGATAAATCCAATGTATTTCATACTATTAAGATGCCTTTGAAGTGTTGTATAGCTTTGAAACATTGAAAACAAAGAAATATAGCTTTAGAAATAATTTTCAACATCCTCTTTGTAACAACAGTCTAAAATAATTTTTCAAATTTCAGCCAACACTTTTCCATAACTTGTTATAAATTGTTGATCCTAATAATTTGGAAAAATATTGTGCTCTTGTTAACACTATAAATGCCTTGTTTTTTGTACTACAATGTAAATGATGCACGTGCTAGCATTTATAACACAAAAGTGCATTAAAAGTGTATAACCCTTATATCTATCAACCTCTATAATTACACATAATGTACTTAATTAGTTTTTTTTTACCCCTTAACAAACAGCTTATCATTATAGTATAACATGTGTCTTTCAAAGCAGTTAGGTAACTACTCCGCAAAATTTACTGAATATAGATACGAAGAGATCGAAATCTCAAGTTATACATTGTAGTTGGAACATGATTTCGGTATCTAGCTGCCCAGTGACATTTACCTTGATTCAAGATTTAAACTTAAGATATATACAACAAAATATTGAGTTTGAATTCATTTCAATCAAAAGTGCTGGAGATATGACCCCAATTCATTTTAAGAATTAAAACTCTTTGATTAGTGGCCTTGACCTTTGAAATATGACCTGGACTTTTTAAAAATCAAGAACTCTTGAAAGTCTTTGAATGACAACAAAACATTTCAGTTGAAATCTAAATCCAACAAAAACCTGTTCACATAAAGTCAGTGCTTCCTTGATTGTGACCCTTGACCTTTTAGATATAACCTTGGTTCAAAATTATAATATAAAGGAACAACATTCTAAAATTTGAATCTATCCAGTCTAATATTACAGAGGTATATCCTACACCTGATTTTGTGAAAGAAGTATGGACATAGGCAACTCATCAAAAGCAGTCATTAAAATGTTACCTTTATCATCAAACAAGAGGCCCAAGGGCCTTGAATCGCTCTTCTGATAAATTGTACAATCTATTTCTTCTATTAGAAGCCTCCAACTCTAGTAGTATCATAAGACCCAAAATGCATCAACTTACAAAGTTTGATAATATTTAGCCAGTTAAGACTGAAGATATTATAATATAATTATGAAATACCATAAGTAGGTCACAGTGACCTACCTTTTGATTGAAATTTTCTGAGGATTCAAGATACATTAATTGACAAAGACTGATGATTCTAATTAAATAAGTGCCTGAGATATTCAAAAGTAGGTCACCATGACCTAATTTTTGGTCAACATTCTCTGAAAACCCAAGATGCATCAACTGACAAAGTTTGATGATTCCGAGCCAATAAGTACCAGATATAATTAAATATAGCCATAAAATGTCAAAAGTAGGTCACCGTGACCTACTTCTTGGTCGACATTCTCCGAAAACCCAAGATGCCTTAACTGACAAAGTTTGATATTTCTTAGCCAATAAGTGCCTGAAATACTTAAATATTGCCATAAAATGCCAAAAGTAGGTCACTGTGACCTACTTTTGGTCGACAATCTCCGAAAACCCAAGATGCATTAACTGACGATGATTTTAGGTCAATAAGTACCAGAGATACTCACCATGACCTACTTTTTGGTCGTCACTCTCCAAACGCCCAAGATGCATCAACTCACAAAGTTTGATGATTCTAAGTCAATAAGTACTGGAGATACTTAAATAAAGCCATAAAATGTCAAAAGTAGGTCACCGTGACCTAATCTGCCCAAACCAAATATGCATATACTCACAAAGTTTGATGATTCTAAGCCAATAAATACCTAAGATACTTAAATATCTCCATAAAATGTTGAAAGTAGGTCATCGTGACCTACTCAAGACATTTTTCAAGATGCATACTGACCAAGTTTGATGATCGTAGGTCTGAAGGTAATCAAAATATGCGTTTTAAACAATTTGAAAACAAATGTCAGCAAAATTCAAAAAGTAGGTCACAGTGACCTACTTTTTCATAAATATGTTTTAAGGTCCCATGATGCATCAAAGTACAAGATTTGATGATTCTAATCCTCCCAGTGTCTGAAATAACGGGATTTAATGTTTTTAATAAAAAGGTAAGTCATAAAGTTCAAAACGTAGGTCATGGTGACCTAATTTTAAGTTGACATTGTGCGAGGACCCAAAATGCATCAACTGACAAAGTTTGATGATCATAGGACTTAAAGTGGCCAAAATATGCCTTCAAATCAATTTGAAAACAAATCCCCGCAAAATTTAAAAAGTAGGTCACCGTGACCTACTTTTGAATTAACATGATCTGAAATTGTAAGATGCATCAACTTACAAGATTTGATGATCCTAGTCCTTATAGTAGGCAAAATATACACGTTTTTATTAATTGTAAATTTAGGTCAACTTTGAAGTGACCTTGAGACCACACACTTTGCAACAGGGTAATTCCCCGTGCAAATTTTAATCTTCGACTTATCCTAATCCTTGTATGTAAGTTTGGTGAAAATCTGCCTGGTGGTTATGGAGAAGAAGATTTTTTAGCAACCAGTACTTTTGGTTTTGTTTTCCTGATTATCTCCCCTTGTTTAAGGGTCCCAACCCTTCTTTTTAGTATAAATGGTAGCCCTTGGGCCAAGGATACCCTGTGACAAATTTGGTACTGATTGGCCAAGGGGTTCTTGAGTTATGGCCCATATTCTAAAAAGTTTACGCACACCGCACAAATGGCCATAGCATTAGCTCTTTGAGCCTTTGGCTCAGAAGAGCTAACAATAAATCTACATTGTTTCAGTGATGTACAGTCATGTATTTATACAGCACCTTTTCTTCAGACTTTTCTGACACATTGTCAAAGCTGGCTGATCTGGAAGACTTTGCGAAAGGAACCCCATCTGAGCCACTCGAGTCACTGGTCAGGCTGTTCTGTCTCGATCGATTGGGAGGTGTGTCTTTAGACTCCTCCTCTTTCAGGTCAATCAGAGTATCTACTTGGAATGTCTTTTGTAAACTAGCAGCTGAATCTGCCCAAGTCTTGACTGCTGATTGCTCACTGTCTTCCTTGTTGTCCTCAAGGTCAATCAAGGTGTTGCTTGAACTGCCCACTGTTTCTGTGGCAACTGGGTCAAACATGGCCAGGGCTGCTGAAAGACGCTTGGTGTTAAATGTGGTGTTTTGCTGCTCAGAGAACTTGACATTACAGGAGGTGTCAATTAACGAGTCCAAGGACTGGGACTCCAAGGACTGAGGAGTCCCTCCAAAACCGGAGTCTGAGGAACTGTAGGTAGCACCATATACAACAGCTGATCGCGACTTCTTGTTTCCTACAATGATCAATAGAATTAATGCACACTCGAAATGTATTTACATTTATGTTTGTTGAGATATTAGCTTTTAGATTTTAAACTTACAACACTTAAGAAATATCTGCATTTCAATTTCAATCTTTATAGGTCATTAATTCTCCCATTTGTTTTTTTTTTAAGCTTCCACCAAAGAGCAAAGTCCACGAACCACCAAAAAATGCCTCTTGCAAAATATTAACACGATTTTTATCATAGAAAGTATAGACTTTAAGCTTTTCATAACCGTTTTTCTTTTTTCAATATCTATTATACTTTTTAAAAACGAGGTCTTGCAATATGGCAATGTTTTCTTAGAAAAATGCATTTGGAACGTCATTGTTTGTACAGTAGAACTCGGTTATAGCGAAGTCCTGGGGACCTGTAAATTTAATTCGCTATATCCGTAATTCGTTATATCCGTATAACGAATTCGTATAAACATTTATAGCGAGTTCGCAATATGAATGTTTTCCTTCAAGTATTACTACAAAATATGTAAGGGAAGCAAATATTACAAAACATACCGTCGATAAATAAGGTTTTATTATGTATTGCATTTTATATACAAATGCTACAAGAAAATAAAGTCAGTTCAATTTAGCAAATTTTAAGATCTTTGAAAGTTCGTTATGAAAATGTAAATTTCATTATATTTAACCTCATCGGGACTCAAAATGGGTTCGCTATATCCGTAAATTCGTTATATCAGAGTTCGTTATAACCGTAAAATTTTACAAAGATTTGTTAAGAATTTTACCGGGGACCCCCAAAAAAATTCGCTATATCCGTGAATTCGCTATATCCGTGTTCGTACTAAACGAGTTTCACTGTAATGTAACGTCACGTCAATTAGCGATAGAATGACCTTGATATTACAGACATATACGAATATAGGGCTTTAAATGCAATAATTAGTATCAGATATTAATCTTATCAACTTCATAATCAATTGATAATTCTGACTGAATAGAATAAAAAATATTGGAAATTACTTAGTATTAGATCCATAAAATAGTTGATTTTGGAGCCTTTTAAAAATATAGATCTAATTACCGGTACATTACTTGAAAAGAAGTACACGATAGTTGAAAGGACCTTCTTACTACACATTTTTAAGAACTTGGCGAGCGCTCGCGAACGTTCGGTCTATTGTACAGGCCTCAGCTGGTAACCAATTTTCATAGGCGAGCGAGAAATATCCGCGAGATTCGCGCACACCTTAACATCGCAGATATTTATCTTCGCGAACCAGCCAATCGCTGGATCATGTTGAATCCAGTAATATAATTAATGTATGCAGGGCAGTATTTGTAGTATGTTGTTAATACATCATTATCGATTGACTTAAATGTAATAAATTTAGTTTGTTTTTTTTTATTTTGTACATTGCTTGTCGTTTTTCACTTTCCATTTCATTTTCACATTATAATTTCCATGTGTAGAATTGCGTATGTAATTCTTATAAATACACGCGTCAAGATAAAAAGTGAAATACAAGTACAGACATTTATTTAACGTTTTACTAATATTTATAGGGAAAAATTGATTTACCCGAAAATCAACGTCCCCTTAAAAAGGCTTTACTAAAGACAGCATAAGAGGACAGTGAAAAATGATCTCTGTATGTTGTTCTTGAAATCGAAAAACACGTGTATTATCGTAGTAAGCAGTTTCATAAAAAAGATTGAGGGGGGGGGGGGGGGGGGGGGTGTAATACAAAGGACGAACATATACAAAGTTCTATCTTTTAAAAATATTTTTTTCAAGAAAATGTAAAAGTAAATTATATAATTTTGAAGTCTAGTTTTAGACAAGTCCTGTAGTTCACATTAGAACTATATCTTAGTAGTAGCGGATCCAGCGACATTCCGATATTAAATGCAGAGGAAGACGTAGTCCCCTACCCCAAATTTTCCCTATACCTTCCCCAAAGTACACTTTATAGTTTTCTGAAGTTGTTGGAAAGAAGTGTGTATATTTATGCAGAACAAAAATAGCAAAATTCACACTATTCGAATGGAACTGGTTTATTTTCATTCTCAAAATATATTTGATTCAGGTTCTTGGAGTGAGTATTCAAGGTTTTATGGCTAAAAAGAATTCTTTAAAGTTATTCAATCATGAGAGTAAAAAACCGACATTCCAATGAAGTTAAAGCCCCCCCCCTTCCCCGCCTTACGTTGTACAGATCTAAAATAAGTCAATTACCAGTATACAATTATTTACTACAAGGAAAGTGTTGGTTGAAAGAAAACAACTCTGCGTCATGCACAAGTAATTTACATATACAGAATTTACACGATGTATACTCGGGATTTTTGTAAATTTTAAACTCTGGATATTTGTGAACAACACCCCACCACAAGCCATAATAATAATAATGAACATTATCTAGGGTCAAAGGCTTACATTTGATAAGCCCCCCCATTTCTTTGACAAAGATATATAGATAATATAGGCATTAAAAATTGGGGCTTACCTCTTTGTGTCAGTCCCCCCCCCCCCCACACACACACTTTCAATTAGCCTCCCCCTTTTAGTTTTCTTCCGACGCCTATGTAAATTTTAAATTTAGCTCTTGTTTCTGCAAATAAATTTGAAACCACTTCTTTAAAGAAAGTTGAAAATTACTTTTCACGTTTTATGCAAGTGCATGAAAATTATCTACGCGGATTTTATAAAGTGAAATGAATGTTATTTAGGTATAGAAATAAAAACCGATTGTTGCTATATGTGATACTATATAATACAATTACATGTATTGTATGCATCGACGTGGGGATTTGTTAAAGCGGACATGTGCATTTGATGTGCAAACACGCGAGTTCTTCTTTGAATCCATTTTACAGAGGTGCTAATTTTTTTTATTAATTAAATAATTTCCCGTTTCAATAAAATGAATTTAACAAATTAAAGCGACAGAAAACTAGAGATCTGTATTAAAAAATAAATCCCATTTCTCCCTGACACTGATTCCTAATGTTTGCATCTATTATGACGTCATAAATGACGTACACCGAGTAACGTCATGTACAACGTTACTGTGATTACCCATCAGTTTTTTTCCCCTTTGATTTCAGAAAATGTAATTTTTAAATTCTTTAATACATTTATTGTCTTCAGCGAACAATTGACTGCTTTTTCTATCACCTTGCGTGTTATCTATTTATTCGATGTCTTATGACCCATCAATTAGTGACTGACTCTAAAAAAATTAAGATTCTTGATAACAAAAAAGTGTAAATTTAACTCTTAATTCCTTGCTCGTCAAAGCCATAAACAACAATAATAATTATCATGAAAGTTTGTATTTGCGGTATTCATACATATAATAAGTTTGACAGTTGTACTTGCCTGCAAATCAATCTTACTTTGAAAAAAAGCGATAAATCGGCATCTTTTAAATCAAGCATCTTTTTAGACTGAATCCATCATATTTATTCCAGCAGTCGAACGTGTCTGTGGGTGCCTCAGTTAACATTTTCTTACTTGTGGGATATGAGTGTCTATCCAATCTCATAATCAATATTATACACCTTTCTAATTGATCCTTTAAACTTTGCGTAATAGACAAAGACAAATATGGTGGTTCTTGATCATAGCCTTTTTACACGCGTTGACATTTTATTTTATTTTTTTTCAACATGAGCACACTCGTTACCACAAAATATTTTCATTGCAAATTACTTATCGAACAGTTATGATTATTTTTCTGTTTCAATATTTTGCGGTAACGAGTGTGCTCTATGTGAAAACCACGATTGATTATGTAAAATTTGAGCATTTTTCCCGAAAACCTTGAACCATGCTGCGGTTTAGGATTTAGTTTGACATCATAATATCCGGTTTGGACGAAATTGTTGCACATGTGAAATGTGTCGATGTTCTAGGATGATAATAACCCAAAACATATTTTCTAATGCCCTTTTCAAAATCTACATATTTGCTAGGCCAAATAAGGCATTTTGTGGGTCGAATTCTTTGAGCGAAATCAGAATCAAAAGCTTGCTATTCTTTACTTAATCATGACAAAACCATAAATCAAAATCAAATGTTTGATAGAGTAGCAGTATACCTGAATATCATTCTACTGAAATCAAATCAGACCAAAGAAAGAGTAACATTAGGATAGAATTTAACATTTAGTACAAATCAAGACAAAAATACACAATTAAAACCTTTTATATACAGTTCACATCTTCATTCTCTACATTTTTTAACTACACTGTAAGTATATGGCATTTTGAATGCCTACAAAATAGAGACGACATTATTTACCTTGATTTCTTTCATCATATTCCTTTTTTGTATTACTTATAGTTGGACAGCTTACTCTCTCTGTTGGTTTTGGACCATTAAATACTGGGTTTTCAAATGCCAGAAAACCTGTATTACTTGGTGCAGATACAGGAACAAATGCTGCCTGATTCTGGTGATTGACTTTTGGAGAGGAATGACTGGTTGGCACTGGTGCTTTAAATTGTTCATGTGTTTTCTCAGGAGGAAGAAAGCCTGATTGTTCAAAAGTGAGTAAGGATTCTTGCTGACGGCCATTATCATCGAGCTGTGAGGGAAGGGATAAGCGGTCTGGTTGAGTTGGTGGCACACTAGGTAGGGGATGAGAAAGGCGGTCTCTCTGTACTGGAAAGGGCACAGGGTGAGGGAGTTTATCCAGGTCAAGGGGTGGTGCTGAGGACATGGGTTTTGGTGCTTTGTCTGACTGGGTTTGCTCGGCTGGTAGAGTGAGTGGTAACCTGTCCTGCTGTTGAGATGAGGGAGGGAATTTTTCTGGTTGTAGCAGAGGTTTGAATGTTTGTATGGAGGAGTGTGTACCTTGTTTTTGACTAGAGCTGTGTTCTGGCACAGCTAGAAGATTACTGGACTTATTCCTGGCTGAGTGTATCCTTGGGGCAGGCTTCGGGGGAGGTAAAGACAGTCTGTTAGTTTCACTGAGGTGAAATGGGTCATCCTCCATAAACACATCATTGTGGGGGGATGGTTTCCCTGATTTTCTGTTGACCTTAAGCTTGTTTGGGAGTGGTGGTGGAGTGGCCTCTGCACCACCTGCAGCTTCTAGGCCTTGTCCAATGGGTAGATCCTCACTCGGGCTCCGTCGACCTAAGTAACAATAAAAAGCAGAATCAGTCTACATGTACATGTATTTCTTGGACAAAGCACTATAACACACTTGGAGATGTAACTGCTTTAATATATCAGGGAACAAACCTTCAGCATTTTCTAAGTTCCCTGCATCCCCCGACATTATTGATGCCAAATCTGTGACACTGCCCACATCATCCTAAATTATAGCATGGCATATGTAAATAAACAGGGTTCGACACTAACATTTTTAGGCTTTGGTCCAGCCGGACTAGTGCTTCTTTACTTTTACTAATCCACGGTCAATTTTATGAGTCCGTCAAAAATAAAAATAAATAAATAGAATTAATGTTGCAATGTACTTTTTATACTTTTTTGAAATAAACAAAGCATTTACATGAAATGTTTATACCAAGAATTTGTTGAAATCGCACAATCAGGAACTACGATCGTATTCCCGATCTCATTCGTTTTTCTCTATACATGATTACATCATCTAAACATCCGACATCTTTCTTTATGTGTCATACTAAATCATGATTGCTAAAATGTTTAATTTCATACCAATGAGTCCTAAAATTAAGCGCCAAATTGACTCAGAATTACCTAACTTCCCGCCAAAAAGCTAGAAAGCTGAAAATAAATACCGGATTTTCCAGTGAAAGTTGTCGAAAACTTGAACATCTGTAAATTCTTTTTTTTTCCCCCCAGAAAACTTTATTAGTCCGTTTGGACTAATTAGCTACAATTTTTATTGGCCCGAATGAAAATGTATTAGTCTGAGACTAACGGACTAACGTTAATGTCGAACCCTGATAAATTTTAGTACCATTCATTACTTCAATACTTGACATTCAACGTTAACAATCATGTAACTCTACATTCACCAATTTAACAATTTTGTGATTTTTTTATTACTGAAATCATATTATTTATATACATTAATATGCTGGTGAATCAATGTGAGATACTATCCATTTCTACAAACCTGATCAAACTCGGAGAGAGCTTGTTTGTCCTCTGTGTCGCTGGCCAGGACATCTGTACTCCAGGCATCACTGGCTGTCTCAGATACCTCAGACACATGCTGAAATTAGAAACAATAATATCATCTGTACTTCCTACTGATATGATGAGATGTTAGCATTATCTTGAAATAAAAGATGGGTGAAGAGAGCATGCAAAATGCCTATAGCTTCAAATGTGTAACACTTATTTTTATTTTGTGAATTTAGTATTAGGTGAAAGTCTTATTATTCAAAGAAGTATAACTTCGACTTTTGTCCCATAATTGCTATAAATTAAAGAGATAAAGTAATAGCCAGTGTGAAAGCTCATATACTTTACAGTGATAAATGTTTATAAATACAATGTGAAGACAATTTGTTTGTAATGACCCTTACATCTTGTCGAGGGAGGAAGCTGCTGCGTATCAGTTCCTCCAGCCTGTCATACTGATTAGCCTCTGGGGGAGGTTCCGAGTCACTGGCCAGTACATCTGTACTCCATGTATCACTTACTGTCGACTTGGTTTCCACTCCTATAAATGGTTCAGTAAAGTATCAAAATATATTTTCTTTAAATGTTGTTCTGGGTTATCTATTGTAGCACAGCTTTGAATTTTGAAAATAAGTATAGATTCTTTAAAATTTGCTTGATTTTTAAATTTTCTAATATCATTTATTCTTACTTTCAATGTCAGCTCTAATTTCAAACTTTCCAAATCGGTCTGTGACATCTTCTCGGTTGGGTTTTGGAACTGTGTGTGGCAGGGGAGGAATTTCGGGAAGTGGCATCTGAGGGGGTGGGGCCTCCTCAACACTCCCTGCCTGCGAGAGGGGTGTATCTCTGCCACTGATATTAGGTGTGCCACGCCCACTAACATTTGCAGAAATCATGTCGGACATGTTGTCATTGTCATCATCTTCTTCAACAGAGCCAACAGAGTGACTGGAAGCAGCCTCAGAAAAGGCCTCCTGGATCTCACTGGTGTTTCCTGTAAGTGACAGGTCTGAAAATAACCATCCCCAGTACATGTGTTAGGAGAGCATTCCCCACATGCTCCACAGATTAGCAACGACATTGAAAAAGGGAGGGGGTGTTATATATCAGAAAAGAACCTGAAAACACCCAAATCCTAATAAAACATAAATTACATTTGATAATTTTTCTTTATATTTTTTTTATTCTCTTATCAAAATCGATGGTTCTTTCAGTCAGAAAAAAGAAAGATTATTTACCAATAGATTCTTGGTCCTGAGAGAGAGAAAACCTGGTTCTTTTGGAGGTAAACATTCCCCCTCCCTCAGCTACCTCGTAATTTGGAACATCATGGTACTTGACCCGCCTGGGTTTGTTATCCTGTTCCATGGATAACACTTTCTGTTCAGACATCATTCCTGGACACTCCGAGTCCATATTTAATGGCACCACCAGAATTTCCTTCACTGATTCATCCTGTGGCGATGGCACATTGAAGACCTCTGGCAGGCCTCGCTTCTTATCTGAAAATATACAGAATCACTGAGTTTATAAAAAATATATATATATGGGCTTGTCTATATTAAGAAAAGCAATTTGATAAATTCTTGTCATTCTTTCTCATTATTCATAATTTTTTCATCCAATTTTTTGCCTAGTTGAACAGACATAGTATTGCTTATACACTGTATACCAATTTGAAAAGACTGCTATTAATAACTATGAAATTCTTCACTTTTTATACAAAATAGGAAAAATGCCATAGAAAACTCTAAATATTTGTCAGATAAAAATTTCACATAGGAGGAGCAGAAAAATAATGTAATATAGAATGTGAAAGTTTCATTAAATTTTACTGATAAGAGGAGTTATGAATAAGAGATGGTAGCCCTGATATTATAGAGAGAAGGGAATGTCCATGTTTTTCCTATGGAAAAACTGTATTATGTCTCTGATCAAAATAGAAGGTGCACAATGGTACTCTATGATAAAAATTCTGTTTTTATTTCGTGGTGTATTAATTGTGGGTAAGAGATGGTATCCCACAAGCATAATAGATGTGTAAACAAACTATCCCATTACTATATGACCTTTTTTTCAAGAAAAGGGTATCATAAGTGAAAATAGTAGTAAGTGAATTCACAGTACATGAATTTCTAAGGAATGAATTATCAAGGACTTTCCTACAAAGACTTCCCACATTCTCTTATTATCAATATCTATCATTTCCCATATTTTCAATGCCAAATTTCTGTTCTTTTGAAACAGAAAACTTCACTTCCTCATTTTTCCCTTCTTTTTTAATTTTAAAATTCAACTAGGCACGTTAATCTTATATAATATCAACTAGAACTTGCTTCTTATTTCCTGTCACAATCAGACAAATAAATCTTTACGAAATAATAATATTTATATAACTTAAAGAATGTTTTTTTTCCCTAATTATGACCTCTTCTGATCGCAGTAATTCAGGAAGTGGTAAATATTATGCACTTTAAACAGAAAGTTTGTCACAGAATTTCCTTGTCCATGGCAATGGAATTCTAATTCAAGCTTACTCAGCTGTTACTAAAGGAACATCAAAAGAAACTGGACACAAATTAATCACGAATTCCTAGTTCCTCATACCTAATATTCACTTCATTATCTTATTGTTAAGCATGGAGGCTAGGACTCAGGATTCTACAAACAGTTCTTGCACTTTATTCTACTTTGATTTAGATTGATAAATTTGCAACATTGAAGATGTCAGTAAAATGAATTGTCAAAATGCACTTAAAGAATTTTATTTGATTGTTTATGACTTGGCTTTGACATGCCCTTGTTTGCACAAAGCACTAAGAAGTGGCAATTTATAAAGATCCCTATATATAAATGAATTGAACTCTTATAAAAATTTCATCCAACATAATTCAACATTTCTCATCAGAGAAGGTTAGTATAGAGGAAATAGAGTAAATGTCACTCAATTTAATCAGTCCATGTAGCATTTTCTATAAATACATTAATTTGCTGATTGTCCAAATGTCTGTTTATTAAGTGTAGAATTTTCCTATTAAAATGTATGACATTTTCAAAGGAAAGGTGTTTTCCTCATGTAGGTGACAGAATGTGACCCTCAACCAACACACAGCTATACCCTCTGTGCATCCATGTACAGACTACACATTAAAATAAACATTCTGTTACCTCGAGTCTTTCTTTCTTTAGGTGTCCCTGGGGGTGTTCTGTTGACCTGTGAGGAGGAGGGTGGGAGACAGTTCAGCAGGGTGGGGATTCTCGAGAGGAGCTCCTCCAGCTGTTTTTTCTCTGCGCTCTCACCGAGGTTAGACGACAAGGACCGTATCAGGGTTATCTACAAAACCAATATAGAGCAAAGAACTTCAGCAAAAACAAGTTAAAGGTACATGTACCAGGCAAGGTAGAGTGAAAAAAAAGGCAAATGTCACTCCATGTGTGTTGTATATCATAGTTCTATCACAGACTTGTACAAAATCAAGGACATCAGCATCAAAAACAATTTTTATTTATGAATATATAGAACATGTACTCTTATCTAAAGTATACTAGTACATGTACTTTACTTTGATAAAAGACCAAAAATATTATTTTGCAATACCGTAAATCTGGAAATATTTGCTGTAGATAAATTTTTAGCAAATTTGCGAGTTCAGTTCATTCGCAAAAATATTTTTCTTAAAAATAAATTACCAATAAGAAAATGTAAACAAAGCAGTGGTAATTCGCAAAATTTTGAAACGTAAAAATTAATCAACACCATTTTGACCCGAATTCGCAAAATAAAATCGACGTAAAAATTTCCAGATTTACGGTATAAATTTGTACTTTAGTCTATTGTAAACATTTCTAAAATAAAACTGTCCTTCAATGTTTTGTTCAAAATTTATCTTCCTGACTCTCGACATATAAATTATATATATATATATATATATATATATATATATATATATATATATATATATATATATATATATATATAAAACTAAAATAACCAAATCAAACATGCTTCAACTAATGCACAAATACTTGAAAGGTTTTAAGATTTTCCTGCAATTCTGGTGTAAACCAATGTCAATGACTACATTTATGTGATGTGATTATTGCTTTAATGAATTCCCATTAAGTACTCTTATTATGTGTGTGAAACTAGCTCTCACTTTTGTAAAATAGAAATGGAACCAATTCGAAAAATCTGAGTAACGGTTTTCAACTTTTGGGATTTATTTCTAATTCAAATGGAATGGTTTGGATTGTGGACATTGGCCTGGATTTCTCAGTAGCATTTCTTAAAAAATAGTTTACAGACAAGCAGAGACACAAACAGCTAGACAGACAGACACCTTACTATTGTAAAAGTTCTATTGGTCTCCGACCAGAAGAGACAATAATGAATACAACCAGAATTTACCAGTTCTCATTTTAACCACCAGACCTTTCTGAACATTATCAAGATAAGGATTATTTGAGATTTAAACTTAATTGAATTCATTTCCTTTTCCACATAAAAAGTGAATTCAATAGGACTCCATTCACAATTCAGGAAGGAAGAACTACTCTACTAAATCTTATAACTAGTTCAGCACATATTTCAAATCCTATTTAAACACAAAATCATTGTTTTAAAAATTATTTTCTTCAGTCTTCAGTCTGGCAACAAACAATAATTTACTATCAAAATATATGTATAAATTGTATCTGCCCAAAAATTATCACTGAAAAAAAATGTTTTTTTTAGCTAACAATGAAGGCAAATGAGTTTTTTTTTTTAGTATCTGAAATGTCAGAAACTTTATTTAGGTGCTATTACTGTATAATAAGAATTTTTTTTAATTTATGAACTCATATATTTCTTTAGGATTTCTTCGACACATCTGCCAGATCCCTCAATACCAATATGATGGTGAAGGAGGGAGGGGGGGTTATAGGTGCTAAGACAGCTTTCACTTAATGCTTTAACAGTTGTGTCCTACATACTAAATAATGATTGTTCCATTTTTGCATTTACTAATGTATATAGCCAGACTGCTATGCAGAGCTTCCAAAAAAAAAAAAATATCAAGCTGGTTGCCATAATTTTCAGAAGAGATGTTTATTGGACACACATCACTTTATTGAACACAAATCATTGTGAATACATAGTCAATGTTTTTTTTTTTTTTTTTGTAAACAATTTTTTAATGTAGGCAATGGTTATATATCTATGGTTTTAAGACTTACCAAAAAATTTAGATCTTGGAGGGTGATGAGTACAGATGACCTTGCTACACTGATCATTTGGTTGACAGCAGAAGGAGATACAATGTCTGTCCTCACCCCATCAAGTAAAACATCAAGCAGGGAGGTTATACAACCCTATAATGTGAGGAAAAATCAACTTAGGGCTCCACATATCTCATTACTTTTCTAATAAAATTTTCTTTCAGAATAATTTCAATAAAAGAACTTTGTCATAAATGATTTTTTTCTTTTGCTGAAAATAATGAAAGGTATGAATAATGATATCATTAAGCTTAAAGACATTTTATTTTCATTTTCGCAAATAAACATGTACTTATGTTGTGAATGAGGAAACAAAAAGTAATATTACACAATTTTTTGCGCTAAACTTTTTAATTTACCTAAAGAAGGAAATTATCCACTTAAGTAATAAATCTACTGAATGAAATGAATTCTTATTGAAAGATAGCGGCAACCAGTGACATGTTATACCTTCTCAAACCTCTCATAGAGATCTTTCTCCTTTGACTCGGCTTCCCACTGAGAAACAGCAAGGACCTGTATTATTTGTGCAATCTGCATCAGATTATGGCGAGCTATGTGACTGATCTGAATGTCGGATGTGATTCCATATGGCTCTGGGTCCACAATGGCTGGACATATGAACAGAGAAAATACTAAATCAGCACAAACAGCTCGGGCTCTTTCCTCGTCATGCCTCCCCGTTTTCATCAGGGCTAGATATATTTGAGATACCAGCCATGCTAGGTTTGAAGGAAAGCAATGCATGTTGTTTTTAATTGAAATTATAAATCTATTAGATAAAACTACTAATTTGTCTACTATAAATTTCCTATATTCATTGCATTTCTTGTCGTAATCTGCGGAGGAGGGCTCCCCAAAGCGTTTGATTCGCTCCTGTGGAGGAAAGCGATGCAATGCCTTCTGTGGATCTATATCATAAAACCATTCGTCTTCCATCAATAATCTCATAACTGGGTCATGAAGAGCTGCCGTTAGAAAGAGTTTGGCTGAATAGAGAGAGTCGAATAGCAGCTTAACTGCCACACTAAACCCACAGTTCTTTTTCCGCAACAAGAGTCTAGGACTGTCATTTGTAGCTAACTGAAGTTCTGCGAGACATTTCACTGTCTGAATCATAGAGACCTCATCCTCTGGAAAAACTACATTCCCAAAAATGGATGTCACTGACAAAGAAATAAACTTTCTCAAGCTTTCCTGTGAAACCTTTTCAGCACTGTCAATGAGAGTTGCTATAAGAAAATGATTATCTTTCAAGAATTTCAAAAACTCTCCATATTTTGATTCATGGTAGCTTAGATGTTTGTAACTGTCCACAAAATTGGTAAATTCTAGATTGTTTGTTTGAGAGTAGCATTCCTTGGGAGTCATGTTGGTGGCGGAGGCCTGTAGCTGCTCCAGACATACTCTCTGCTGTCGGACAATCCACGATTCATGATAAAGATCCTCCGCCACTCTCTTGGCTTCTTCATACAGATTGTGGATTTGTGTCTTCTCTGCATTAACAAAGAGCTGCTCCTGCTTCAACTGCCTTGCCAGCTCTAGCAGTTCCATCTTATATCACCCTACTGTAACAAGCAAAATGGTTTACTTTCTGTTAGGATCCATATCTTGTGGCTCTCCTGAAAATTATCAAAAAATAAAATCCACATGCAATCATTGTTAACATATTCCATGTCAGATAAAAAGCATAGACTTAATAGCCTAGTACCTTGTGACTCAGTATCATTTATGATGAACGTAAAATAAAGGTTGATGTGGTACATAAAAACAGTGCATTTAGCATAGCAGTTTCTAATATACATCAGCATTTGTACAATTTCAAGATACATACATCAATATGAATCATTTCAACTACAGTTGAACTTCGATATCTAGAACACTTTTATCTCAAACACCATGGATAAATCAAAGTGATCTTGCAGTCCAAACCACTTATTCTCCAAGGATTTTACGCCAGACATCTCAAATCCTTGGATATCTTAAAATTTTTACATGGTCTCAAAGAGTTGATATAATGAGGTTTGACTGTAAAATGTATATGTAATTTAATTACAAAAAAAATTGTTATCCTCAAAATACACATTTTCAAGTAATCTTTTGAAAGAGTTATATTTTGGTACTGTTGCGAGTCCTTGACTAAGTTTTTACTTTTGGATAATTATGATTTTCACTTATGATGTTTTCTAAATTAAATGATCATTAATATTTTCTCAAAAAGTATCGATACTTCAGTTAAATTTAAATTACACATTTTAATTATTACTTTATTCAAATCACATGGTGCTTCTTCAATGATATTATTGAAGCATGTGCTTAAATGCCTTAATATTTCCTATCTCAAATTCACATCTCATAACATGTGCACAGCTATTTCATTCAGTGCACGAAATTTAGTTTCACAGCTGACTTAATGGTGGTCTCTGACCAAATAAAGTACTTTGATAGACTGAAGGAGTGGTTTGACTCATGTCCCACACGAATGGATCCATCATGCTCTGTGGAAAAGGGGGAGGGTCCGTCATCTATTACACTACTTTAGCAAAAGTTAAATGTAAACGTATCATATGATTTCAAAACAGACAGTTTGATTTCTCAATGTTTAAATGCAGAATCATGAACTTAGTGAACTGTAATGTATAATATGTGACCCAAGATGCGAGTCACTCGAGGACAAGTGATCGAGTACTTGGCAATGATGATGACTCGATACAATCACGTCCAGGACAGCATATTTACAAACGAATATCAACTTTGTTTTCAACGCGAAATCATCTGAAATTCAATGCCAAATATGAATAAATAAAGCTTTTTGGGGAAATACAGGTGTTTACCTGAGGGAAACATCCGTAAACCTAGTAACTGGTCTACCTCCCACTCAGAAGTCACTTCTGCCATGTTTACGATACATTGCGCTTGCGCAGCGAGAGACTATATTTGGAGCCATGTGTTTTCCTACATACGGCTAAATTATTTCCGGGAGAATTGTTCAAAGAAAATTAACTGTACTTCTTAGAAAGAATAAACAAATTATTATCATTGTTTTTGTTTTATCTTGTACTACAATCAACTAAGACGGAAAAATGATAACGGTTGTGCAAATTAATATCTGGTACCCCACCCTCCGATCTTTGCTTTCAAAAAAATATATTTTTAAACAAATTATCCATAGGCGCTCCCCATGTAATTCTGTAAATGACGTATGATAAGTATGTATAGGTCTACCCCTCTATACGATATTTTATAGTATAGAGGGGTAGACCTATCGAAAGTCGGACGCTTTTTCGGACCCTCTCGTATGCACCTTCGGTACGCGCTCCAAACTCGTAACACATAACCGGAAAGTTATACGTCACATAAAATGATGTTTTCACCCTCTTTCTATTCTTAATTTTCATTGGTTAAAAGCTTTGTAATGCTATAAATCAAAACCATACACGGAAAGGCAAAGGCTGATAAAGTCGGACAGCGACAGTGAAAGTCGGACATGTAGAATTTAAAGTCGGACACTTACTAGTTTCGGCATTTAAAGTCCAATGTACTTCATTTTTTAGGTGTTAAATCGTAGTGGAGCAGGCACAAAGTATCAGGGGGTTCTATATACCCCTACTTTCCCCCCAAACACTTACTTTACACTATTGAAAATTCAAGTTCATTGAAAGGCTGTTTGTCCCACCTCTACCTTTTTATTACCGTCAAATCAGGGTATTCTGGCAATATGTATGAATAAAATTCGGTTTTGAAAGATGTAATCAAATGGAACGTATCCTCCCATCAACCTCCAAAATAGAATTTTCTTTGAGTTTGGACCATTAACCACTCCTTCTTTCTTGTCGTTTTCTTTCTTCACTCAGGTAAGTTGATTTTTTTAAATTTAATTTTCTAGCCCCTCCCAAGCTTACAAAAATGATACCAAGTGCCCGGGAAAAAATTCATGAACATTTAAAGTTATTTTTACGTATAATATACTTAGTAATCGTGTGGATTTATCATTATTTTGATTTTTTCCATTTATATACCAAGAAATTTAAATTAACATAATTTTTATAGTACATGTATTTTGCGATCTATAATCTATAAATTCATGGGTTTTCGCATGAATAATTTTTTTGGGTTTAAATTGTCCCCAAAATTAATCCCATTTTACATAAATGGTTATAGACAGAAAATTATATACCCAACTATCTTTACATTAAAATCAGTAATCTGTAACTTATTTAATTTTCAAGAAAGAAACCTTTCTTTTTTCCTGAATGAGTGATGAGTTATAAATGAAACTCAAATAAAGCCACAAAAAAAATTGACTTGATTTTTTAATAGATTTTCTTTTCTTCTCTTTCTTTCCCCTTCCTTCTTTTATTTTCCTCGGTTTATGTATACAGTATTTCATTTCTCTGCAATATTATATCAGTTTGTTGCTGTTAAAATTCAACGAGATCGTTGTTGCTTTACGTGTTTTTCATTGTTTCTTCTGAAATGAAACAATTTCTATAAGGTAAGTGATAAAACTTTTTTTTTTAATTTCTTCCTTCCAAAAAGTTGTAGCGAATCGGCAGAATTTTATTTACAAAAGCTTAAATACTCTTAAATTGCCAGTAATTAAGTTTAATAACATTATAATAAATCGTTTTAGTTTTTAAAAATATGACAATTAAAATACAATTTATTCAATATAATGTGCTGTCCGACGTTAAATTCTCCTCTGTCCGACTTTAAATGACCGAGTATGTAAAGTCGGACAGTTTAATTTTCATGGTTTTATAAATAAATATCCACCATAAAGTTATAATTATGGGAATAATTAATATAAATCATGTAAAAGTATATGATTTAATTACAAAAGGCAATCACAGAGTACCGACGGCAAACTGAAGATTTCGCCAAGGATAACTAGGTCACTGTCGACAGGTGCGCGCTCGGTGCGCATGCGAATTGTATCCGGATCCGTGAGATGCGTATGTATCCTCCAAATTTTAGACATTATTTCAAACGTTTTCACGACTATATATGTACGAAACAACCATAAACGTCCTGTAGATGGAGACACTGCAAGAAAAATACACATGACACTAAATTTAGAAACGATTTTATTCTGAAAGAGAAAACTGTCCGACATTCGATGCTGTCCGACTTTAGCTGTTCCTCCCCTACTTATCATACGTCATTTACAGAATTACATGGGGAGCGCCTACGATCAATTCGGGAGAAGGGGATTAGAGAGGGGTGTCTTACGTCGGTTTAACTAACTAAACATGGTCAGACCCAGTCTTTAAAACCTTACTCTTGTTGAAATTGCCCATTATGATAACTTGATTTTACCATTATTCTTTCTTACGATCTAATATCCTTTTTTAAGAATTATAAAGCTCATTCGACTAATTTACATATAAAAAAAAATCACTAACAATAATGACGTGTACAACGTTTGCAAATAAAAGCGTAACTTTCGCGTTATAACGCATTGCTTTCGCAAATAAACGTGAAACTTTCGCGTTATAACGCGAAAAAAATATTTTTAAACGTTCAAAAATGAACTCAATCATTATGGATTTTTTGTACTTCTTAAACAAAAAATGATGGGGTATGAAAGACAATCAGTTACTTCTCTAACTATATCCTACCTAGTCTTTAAATTGCACATATTTAATTCTTAATGTGAAGAAATGGTATACAAGTCATAAAAGTTATGCTGATGGCAAATTATCCACATATGTGAAACTCAAACAAAATTGGGGTTATGAGAATTATTTATCAGTTGTTAAAAATTTTCATCACAGAAAATCTCTATGTAAATTAAAAATTTCCTGTCACAGACTACAAATTGAAGTGGGAAGATTTACCAATATTCCTCGAGAAGATCGATTATGTAATAGATGTAATTCTAACAACATAGATGATGAAACTCATTTTTAAATAACATGTAAAAAATTTGATCATTAAAGAAAAGAATTAAATATTTCAGTTAATTAATCATAAATTTCCACTATTTTCAGCCTTAGATGATGAACAAAAACTTTATTGGTTACTCAATACAGAAGATAAGGAAACTCTTAATTTTGTGGGCAAATTTATAAATGATAACATGTTATAGTAGTATTAGTCTTTTACACATACATGCATATTTGATGTATTCCTTTTAGACAGGATTATTGTTGAAATGATTTATGTCAATTATTAATTGTATAATTGTTTTGCTATTCATTGGCTTATCTTTTCCTTATTATTGTAACAATCTCATACTTGTCTGTTATGGGCTCTAAATTAGAAATAAAATGTTCTGTTCTGTATGAAGAATTTTCTAAATACACTGTATAAAAATTTATGTAAAACTTTTAATTTCAACAATTTAATTCTTCCTTACGAGTTTCAGGGAGGGGGGGGGGGATGTCAGTCATATATTTTCAGTATTTGCACTATCAGCTACCTAGCTGCTGAACTGTAGCTCTCTGCTTGAGAAAATTCGGACAGATAAAGCTGAGAGCTACAGATCCATACGTTGTAAAAACCTTCGATTTACGCCGATGATTTTTTGTCGCTACTTTAGGTATTTATTTCTTGTAGTTTAAGCTTTCTCTGGCTTTTGAAACGGTATCCTATTATTTATCATATATTTAACTCTTACTGTTTAACCTTTTAACAGTCTGAAACAGTCATGTATATATAGTTTATTTGTAATGTCGGTTTAAGAGTTCCATTTCAACGTCCGTACCACAAGCAGCCAATTGTTAGCGTTGACAGGTAAGTAAATTATCAGGTGTTGAAGTTAAATGTATGATTACTTATTAAATACCATTTTTAAAGCTGGGGAAAGTAAAAAACTAAAAGAAAAAATACCCGAAGTGAGCGACAAAAAATCGTCGGCGTAAATCGAAGGTTTTTACAATGCTTTGATCTGTAGCTCTCTGCTTTATCTGTCCGAATATTCTCAAGCAGAGAACTACAGTTCTGCAGCTATCAGCTACCGAAAATTCCTTGAAAAAGGTCCCCAGACGTTTTTATTGAGGGGGCACGAGAACATAGTACCTAATTGTTTTCTATAGTGTGTCATATAACGTAGGGGCCACATGACATCAATTCATTGACAGATGAATAGATAGAAATATTTATGGGGCCTAATCTGACGGTTGCACACTTCAAATTCAAAATTCAAATCATAGTTCAAATTGTAAAAGAATTTTAATCTTATAGTTCTTAATTATAAATTAGAAATTACGTTAATACCAATGTTGATATACTTACGCAAGGTCCCTGGAAAAAAACCTGCACCGATAAAAACAATTTTCCGAATTTTTGTTTCTTTTTTATGCCCCCGTAAACGAAGTTTCGGGGGTATATAGTTTTGTCGTGTCCGTCTGTCTGTCTGTCTCTCTGTTTGTCCGCAAAAACTTTAACCTTGCCCATAACTTTTGATTTAGTGGAGGAATAACTTTCATATTTCATATGTGTATTCCTTGTGACAAGACCTTTCTTTGGGTACCACCAAATTTGACCTTTCGACCTTGACCTTGGAGTTTGACCCACTTAAACATGAAAATTTTAAACTTTTACTTTGCCATATCTTTTGAACAATAGATACTAGGACATCTATACTTCACATATGCAATGTTTGTTAAAAGACCTTTCATTGGATACCAACAACCTTGACCCTTTGACCTTGACCTTGTCGATTTTCGTACTTGTGAAAAAAACTTTAACCTTGGCCATAACTTTTGAACGGTAAGGGATAGGGCTTTCATTCTTCATATACGTAATCCTTGTGAGAAGACCCTTCATTGGATACCAAGAACTTTGACCCCTTGACCCTGACCTTTGAGATTGACCTACTTTAAAAAAGCAAACCTTTAACATAATTTTTATAGAGTTAGGGCCAGTGCTTTCATACTTTACATATTTGATCCTTATGACAAGACCTTTC